TTATTTAATATATTTAATAATATTATTTATTTAATATATTTAATAATATTATTTATTTAATATATTATTGTTTAATATATTATTATATGTTTTCAAAAATTAAACTACCAAACGCAGTTTCAGTTTTTTTTAAACTGAAATCAATCTCTAAATAAAACTACCAAACGCATTTTCAGAAATAATTCAAAAATGAAAATGAAAACGTTTTCATTTCCATTTTCGTACAGAAAACAAAAACGTTTTGGAATTAATTCCAAACGCACCCTATGTATCAAAGGCTATGTTTTTTTTTTAACTTGATAACAGTGCCACAGTTTTTTGATTATGTGATCACAGTAGTTGTTACTAAATAAGTGGACGTTTGATTCATGAATTCAGAATCATAATTCATAACTATTTTTGTTTTATGTGTATTTTTTATGAGAAAAAAACACTGTAGAAAACCATAAAACATGATTCAGAATCATGAACGAATACAAGAAATAAACATCCCATAAGTCTATGTAAGTCAACTGTGGTGGCAGCGTAACAATAAGAGGCCATCTAAGTAAATTTATATGTAAGTCACAAGTAGCGGTATAACAGTAAGAGACAATTTATATGCAAATCACCAGTGGCGGTATAGCGATAAGCAATGATCACGATTCTTTGGCCTCGTTCACTTCGCGGATTCGAGTTTTCAATTCGAGCTGAGATGTGACATTTTGTGAGAACTTTTACTATAACAGAAAAAGTTAGATGCGACATTTTTTGAGAGTTTTTTATTATAAAAACCTAAAACTGAAAACTCGAATCAGTAAAATGAATGAGACAGTAAAATGAATGAGACATTTATGTCCGTATGTAATCATCTCAAATTTGTGTTACACTAGTACAATTGTGTCGTAGTCTATTGCTCTTGTAAGGTTTTTTTTTTTTTTTTTTTTTTTTTTAAGGTTTTTTTTTTTTTTTTTTTTTTTTTTGGCACAAATAAAAAACAATAAGGGTATCCTAAAAAAAGATGATTAGTGGTTTACTCACTCCCTAGACCAATATTCGGTTAGCAATTTTTTAGAATTATAGATGGAACATAAAAGAACCTTACCATGTCTTCTTTAACTCATGGAGCGAAGGAGTCCAAAATCACCTCAACCTAAGCTACCCATATTCAATAGCTACTCATTTTGCATGAAAAGTCCCAAATGCAAAATGATTTTCTGCATTAAGATGGGTTTCCTAATATAGCAAATTTTTATTTATTTATTAAAGTTCTCAACAGAATACTAATAGAGGGAATCAAATAATATCCCATAACCTTAGGGCTTAGGGCAACAACAGCAAACCAAGCGTTGGCTCTTGTGTAACAGTAAGCAGTTCCCAATGAACCATTTTTCTCCTTCCTTGAAAAGGGCAGAAAAAAGTAGTAATAAAGAACAGTATTGTTAGAGCAATGAATGAATGTCCGTTTAGTTCGTTGATTCGAGTTTTTAATTCGAGTTGAGATGTGATTTTATGTGAGAACTTTTTACTGTAGTAAAAAAGTTAGATGTGATTGTTTGTGAGAGTTTTTTACTGTAGAAAAACTCGAATCAACGAAATGAACGGGGCCGTATTGTTATCTAAACGGTAGAGTACCAAGGAACATAAAATAGAAGAAAAACAAAAAATAGAAAAACACATTATTAAGCGCGTTTAAAATTCGTTTTAAAATAATTTTATTTTTTATATAAAAATAAAAATAAAAATAAAAACATTTTCAATCTAAGATATAAATTATTTTTAAAAATGTGTTTGGTAATTTTATTAAGAAATTATTTTCAGTGTAAAAAAATTCATTAATGTCTCTTTTTTTCTTTATATCTCGATAAATGAGAAAATAAAAATAAAAAATAAAAAAGAATTAAAAGTCATTTTTAATTTATCTCTCATTTTATATTAAACTAAAAAATCGTTTTCATTTCTGTTTTTTGTCTTTATTGCGTCAAACGTCGTTTTAGAAATATTTTTATTTTTTTCTCAAAAAATGTAAAAAATAAAAAATAAAATTAATTCTAAACACATCCATCATTTTTTATTTTTCTCTCATTTTATATTAAATTAAAAAATTATTTTTATTTAAAAAAAACGTGAAAAATAAAAAAAAATCAATTCTAAAACGGTCATTTTTAAAAAAAAAAAAATTTTAAAGGAAAAAGTATCCACAAACCGACACTGATCAGGCCCACTTTCATCCAACGGTCTATATCACATCCTTGAAAATTTAATTTTTTTATGCCCAACTATACTAAATACTACTCTTCTTGTACAACACCCATACTACCACTCTCTCTCTCCCCCTTTTCCCCCTCTCTCTATCTCTCTCTCTCTCTCTTCTTGGGCTGCACTACTTGCACTGAGCAAACCAATTGATTAGCTTTCTTCTAAGTCTAACCACTCACTGATTTTTGCTTGCTTCATTCATCTATGGCTGCGCTAGCATTTCTAGTGCTTATTTTGGCCATGGCTGGCCACTCTAGTAAGCCCCTTTCCTTTCCCATTTCCCTCTCTCTCTCTCTCTCTCTCTCTCTCACTCTCTCAGCTTGGTCTGAAAAACTTCTTGCCTTTAAAGTAGATAGAAGTTTTTTGTTTTCTTTTTCCCCTTTTCTTTTTGGTGGGTATTTCTTAATCTCTCTAAATAGGACATTATCTACTCACCATATTTTCCTCCTTTGCTAAATATGTATTATCTTCTCTATATTTCAAATGGGTTTTCTTCAATGAAGCACTTGTTCAAATGCAATAATAGACCCTCTTTCTTTTGACATTATTGTAGCTTTTTTAGTGTCTTTTTTTTTTTTTTTTTTTAATGTGGAAAGCTCTAAATGGCTTCTGGGTTTGCCTTAAAACTAGTTCTTTTTTTTTTTTTTTTTTTTTTTTTTTTTTTTTTTGTAGTCTCTCAACATTATTTCTCCTCCTCCTTTCCTCTCTCCACTTAAACCTCTCATTTCCCATGCCTTTCACATTTTTTTTTGTCTCGTAACTAAAATGAGTAATGAGAAAAAGTGAATCTAACAACCCCAACAACATTTCTCTTATTATATATACCTTCACATATTATTTATCATGAAAATTTCATTTTTTTCCTTTTCTCTTTGATCTTTTATTTAATTTTTCCCCCTTATTATAGGTGCTAATTGGTGCGTTTGCAAGAGTGGGATAAGCGAAAAGGAGCTACAGAAGACACTGGACTACGCATGTGGAGCTGGAGCAGACTGTAACCCAACACACTCAGGTGGGGCTTGTTTCAACCCAAACACGGTCCAAGCCCACTGCAGTTATGCTGTCAACAGCTATTTCCAAAAGAAAGGCCAGGCTCAAGGCACTTGTGATTTTTCTGGCACCGCCACTGTTGTTACTTCTGATCCTAGTAAGTCCACCAAAAACTATCCTCTTTTTCATCATCTTCTTTTTCTTGAAGGCATGATGAGTTAAAAAAAAAAAAAAAGGTTTTGTTTTTTTCACAAAAATAGTTCCTAAAATTGAAGGATTAATATTTTTTTCATGTAGATGGAAAGCTAGTATGAACTTTTGTAATACGTGGGTATTTTGGCTAAAGATTGAGGGATTAATATGTTTCTGTTTTGTCTTGTACATGAATGTTTTTTTTTTTTTCCTTTTTTAAGGAAAATCAAATTGGGTATGTTGGTCTTAGCAATTATTTATTCTGAATGTAGAGGAAGCTTGAAAAAAAGAGTGATTTCATCTATTATACAAAAAAGAGACTCTTTTCTTACCATTTTTATTTACTCTGATTATGATTTACAGGCACATCTTCTACTTGCGCTTACCCTGCTACTGCCAGGTAAAAACTATAGTGAATGAATATATGAACTAATGATCTGTTTTTTGTTTTTTCCATTTCCGGTTATTTAAGGCCAATGTTTTATTATTTACTCTTAAGATTTACGATATTAGAAAAGAAACGTCACAATCATGTTTTTTAGTGACGTTACTTCAAAATTTAGGTATATATCTACACAAGATAATAACATTATTACGAGAATATCCAACTTCTAAGTCGAACATATCCTCCAATTAAAAATGTTCTTATTCTTCTCTCTCTCTCTCTCTCTCTGCTGCCTATTTTTGTAGAATATCCAACTTCTAAGTCGAACATATCCTCCAATTAAAAATGTTCTTAGGATTTGTTTATTTATTGATGTTTTTGCAAACTTTAGGATTTGTTTATTTATTGATGTTTTTGCAAACTTTAGGATTTGTTTATTTATTGATGTTTTATGTCAGTTAAGTGGTGTTATAATTATTATTGTTATTTTTCTTTCGGTGCCACTTGCACCGTTGGATGTTGTCGTTTTTAATGCAGTGTCGGACTGACACTTTTTTCAGAATTTGAGTTGGTAGACACTACACGCTTTATAAAGGTCAAAATGGGGAATTCGCTTATAGTTCAATACCGCAGTTTAGATGCTCGATTGTAAAATTCTATTATAGTTCAATTTTTTTTCTCTCTTTTCTAAATAAAGTATTTAGTTTAGAATTGAACAATGCTTAATGGGATTCAAAGTCTGTGATTAATCTCTAGCTTTTTATTAAAAGAATGAAAAGATAGTGTTTGAAAGTAAAACCCTTGAAAGACTGTTAAAATCAGTTTTAACGTCTAGCTAGCAGAAACTCTGTTCACATTAGAAGATTATGTTCAGATAAAGTTGGGTTAGGAAAGTCTGGTGTGCAGTGTAGTTAGGTTACGATCAAGATTTATTTCTTTTCTTTTTTTTTTTTTTAAAAGAAACTATGATTATTTATTAGGTAAAAAAACATATATCTGATCTAAAGCTCTGCTTATTTTTGTATTGCTGTCTCATTTCGATTCCTTTTCCTAAACACCTTTCTTTTTTAACATCAATTCCATTTTTTTAGAAGTGCGCATTATATTACATTTTTTATATAGTGGAATGGCCATCTTTTGCTTTTGTTATTGAGTTAATTTTTTTTTTCCGAAGGTGTTTAAATGTTTTCTATTTTACCTTATATATTAATTAAAATAAAAAACAAAATGCCCTCCTTTTTCTTTTTTCGCTTTTTTGCAATCCAAATGTGCTCTTTTTGGCATTTTGACCAATATTGTAATTGCATCACGATGTCCTGACTCATTGCCCATTTATTAGACGGTGGCGCTTGTAACATATATAGGGTGCGACTTTTTTCACTTTTATTTTATGAAAGGATGCTACAATCATTGGGATCCAAATCCAATGCTTTATATAGAAGGTAAATCTCATTGTAACTGAAATAGTGAAAAGTTTTTTTATAAAATATATTTTAAAATAAAGGTAGTGTAATTACCCTTTTGCCCTTCAGTAAAATTTAAAAAGCTTTTGGATTTTTATGCGACTGTAAATTGAAAAAGGTATGCAATGGTCAAAAAGGTTGTGGCCATCAAGAAGTGTGTGGGCAGGACTTGAGAGCTTTGTCCGCATTATGGGGGCCAAATATATAGGGTGGAAGCGGCTGCTTTTTTCAGTGGGTACCTTGAAGAGCCACCTCAAATCCTAGGGATGTACAAATTTCTTCGAGATTTGAGCCAACTTTGTGATTTTTCTTGGATTGTCGAGAGTTGTGCTAATTTAACGGAGAAGCGCTCAAAAAATTTGATTTTATTTCTGAAAAAACACAATTATAGGACTATTGAGGTTCATACATAGCGTTACTATTGAGCTTTTTCATGTTTTTATTTTCATCTGATTTAGAGTATTTTTGCCATTTTTAAAGTTGTATCATGATTTTGATGGCTAAGGCATACATCACATGGTGGGCCTTGCTCCTTGTGTACTATATATAAATAAGCCATGACAAAGCTAAGAATTTCCTAGTTGGTTTTGATTAGGGAATAGTTCTTAGTTCTTATTTTTTTTCTTCAATGATCAGCCACCATTTCATCTTCACTTAATAAAGGTTTTCAAGTTGAACATGTGAATCTATTACGTCCAAAATAGAAGACTGATAAAAAAAATATGTCCTATTTTTTTGCCTTGCGAGTAGATGAATGTTGCTAGATGTTCTGATGAGTGTTTTATTTTTATCCTGTTTTTTTTTTTTTTCCCTTTTTTTTTTTTTTTTTTTTTTTTTTTAATAATATCTGTCTCCTGTAAATTGCTTCACAATTCTAATTACTAACAAACTTTTGTCACGTAGAAAGTGCATGCATATAGTAAGTTTGATTGTTTGTTTTAGCATGTTTAGATCACCCCATTCTGTTTTCCATGCCTAAACACTGCAAACCATTTGTTTGTTTGTTTTTTATCAGCGCAACAAGCATCGGTACAACCCCGATAACAACAACACCATCCTCCACCACCACCACAACCACTGGGACGCCTTCAACCGCGACGCCCTACAGCACCACCACCCCATCCAACGGCGTGCTAGGAGGGATTGGAAACGGCATGGGCCCATCCGGCATCAACGATGAAAGTAATGGCATTCGGCTTACAAGCCATAGTTTGTTCTCTTCTTCAATGACCACCACCTTATTCCTTTCAGGCTTGATGCTTTGGTGGGCTTGAAAAGGACACATAATAAAGAAGGGTGTGGTGGGGTAGGGCTATTATTGGAAGAACCAGTTTTCCAATGTGCAGATGAGAGAAGGTTGGTTTGTGGATCATGTGATTCTGCTGTTGTGTTGTAGGTGTTCATTTTAAAAGACAACTCAATGCTACTAAGTTTTTTTTTTTTTTTTTTTTTTGATTATTTTTGTTTTTCTGTTTTTGTCATCTATCAATCATCCTATATGGGAAAAGCTTAAGATGGGATTTTGATTCCTTTTGGATGGTGGTGTCTTCTAGTGGGACTTGTGGGAAGTAAGTAAGACTAGTTCTAGCTGTTTCTCCAACTTTTGTTCTCTGTTTTTTTGTACATCTATCTAGATCTAAAATGCTAAGGCCAGTAATCTATTAATTTTGGTGGAAAAAAGTTGGGCATCAATGTTCCTACTGTTTGTACTAGAGAAACAGAAGCTTTGCTGTATTCCACGTGTATGCCTTGGTTAGCTCTGTAGTGGAATACAGATGTATAATAATGAGGGTTTTCCATAGTGACCCTAAGGCTCTGGTTAAAGGGATCGATAAAGAGCAGAAAGGATGGGGTGAGCTGAAAAAATGAGAAATGTGAGTGATGGAGAATTTTAATTTAAGGTTGTATGGTGAGAGAGAAGAAGAGTTAAAAAGATAAATTGTATTTATTTGAATAATTATTATATTGTCGATTTGTACAATTAGTTAATACTTCTTACGGACGATAAATAGTCTTCTAAAGTCTGAAAGTAAATTGATTGCTTGAATCTTTTTAATAATGGAATGATTCAATTTGTTGAATTAGGAAGGAGATAAGGGGGTGCGCTCGGAATTCGTTGCAAAATAATTTTATTTTTTTGTATGAAAATGGAAATAAAAACGTTTTTAATTTCAGACATAAATTATTTTTAAAAATGTGTTTGGTAATTTTTTCAGGAGATTATTTACAGTTTAAAAAAATTTATTAATGTCTTTCTCTCTCTTTCTCTACTTGAGAGAGGAGAAAATTGAAACAAAAAATAAAAAGCGATTAAAAGTCGTTATTTATTTATCTCTCATTTTATATTAAACTAAAAAATTATTTTTATTTATGTTTTTTATCTTTAATTGTACCAAACGTTATTTTTCTCATATTTTCATTTTTTTTCTCAAAAAATGTGAAAAATAAAAATAAAAATAACTCTAAACACAACAACCTAACATCCCTTCACTTTTTCTTTCCCTTTTCACTCCAACCAAATAATAAATGTCCAAGCTGAAGATGAAAAATAGAAAACAAATTTTATTCTTTAAGTGCATCTTCAATTATGCTAATCATTTCATATTTTTTTTAGTCAAAGATAGATAGTAATGTAACATTTTTTTTTTATTTTTCACTCTAATTATTAACTAAATGGTTGGTTATTTTAGAAAATACATTTTACACTAACTAAATATAGTTTGTAAGAAAAGGCTAGCCACTTCATTTTTCTTATTATTTTATTATTTCAATGAGTAATAAATGCAAGGGTTTTTGAAAAAAAAAATTAATAAAATTATTTATATTTTAAATTCAATAATATCATAATATTTTATGTTTAGTTAAAATATGAAGTATAGTTAGAGTGATTAAAAATTATTGGCTAAAATAATTTTATAACTAGTTTAACTAAAATTAAGTTAAAATTTAGGGAGTTTTCTTGACATAATTGTTGGGTTTGTTTTCTCTAATTGGTAAAGACCGCTCGTAAATTGTAATATGCAGAAATAAAAATGTGATATCATTCTTATTTGATGTAACCGTGACTTAAAAAAAATGTTATTTGTTTTTTATTTTTGTTGAGATTAAAAAGATTGTAATATTTGTTTATCATAAATAAGTTTTTTATTGTTATACTTTTAAAAATATTTTATTCAAAATAATATAAGAGTTAAACTCATAAATAGTCTTTAAGGTTTAGCGTCAATCTCATTTTAGTCTTTGACTTTTCTAACGTCGAACAGTTGGTTTGTGAAGTTTTATTTTATTTCAGTTTTGGTATTTCTGCTAGTTTGGTGTTAAATATTTGACAGAATATGTAGAAATTATGAACTAAAATTGAAAACATATGAAATTTAGAGACAAACAATATAAAAAGTCAAAAGTTAATTTTTATAGATAGACCTAAAATTTTAACTGTTTCTAATTTTAGATTCTAATTTACACGAATTCTATCAAATTTTAACGCCTAATTAATGAGAGGACTGGAACTAAAACAAAATAAACCTCAAAGACTATACGTGCGACGTTTAAAAAATCAATAATTAAAATGAGATTGAGTGCAAATCTCAAAAACCATTTATACAATTAATCTTAAATAAAATGTTACATGTAGAACGGGTCTTTAGTTAACTAAAGATAGTTTACAGTATTATTACTACATAGGACTGTCTATTTTGTGGACCACGGATGACTTGCGTTTCATTTCCAGTCAGCAATGCATGGAACAACTAATGCAGATTTTAATTGTTTTCACCAACTTATTCAAATTGAAAGAGTTGGGACAGGAATTAATATTAATTTATCATGACTACTTGTAACTAATTGCGTCTCCTCTAGAATGCTCAGCAACCTAGCCGTTTTAAGATTTCTCCTTTATTTCTATTTCAACAAAACAAAAATAAAAGTAAGAAAAGAAAAAAGAAAAAAATGGTAAAAACGTTGTTCTTAATTTTGTCAACAGAGTTTGTTAGAAATGTTTGGTATAGGCCACTGGTCAATGTCTTTGACGATCTGGAATGATCGTCTTTTTTTTTTTTTTGGTCAGCTAAATTCTAGATTAATTGTTGTTACTAGA